CATGTCTTTCTGTCTCTGTTATTTCGCTATCTACTTCAGATCTATCTATCTATCTATCTATCTATCTATCTATCTATCTATCTATCTAAGGCTGTTCAAATTTATCTATCTAAGGCTGTTCGTATCTATCTAATCAGTCTGTTCATATCTATCTATCTATCTATCTATCTATCTATCCCAGTCTATTCATAATATCTATCTAAGACTGTTGAAATTTATCTATCTATCTAAGGCTGTTCATATCTATCTACCTATCTATCTATTCAGTCTGTTCATATCTATCTATCTATCTATTTATTTAGTCTGTTCAAATCTCTCTATCAAGTTAGCTAAATAGCTATCTCAGTCTGTGCATATCTATCTATCTAGCTAGCTATCTAAGGCTGTTCAAATCTATCTATCTATTCAGTCTGTTCATATCTATCTACCTATCTATCTATTCAGTCTGTTCATATTTATCTATCTATCTATTTATCTATATATGGCTGTTCATATCTATCTGTCTATCTATCTATCTATCTATCTATCTCTTTTACTGTGTTTATATATCTAGCTATCTCAGTCTGTTCATCTGTCAAATATAGACTTATCAATCTATCTATCTCAGTCTGTTCAAATCTGTTTATCTATCTAGCTATGTATCTATCACAGTTTGTCCATATATATCTTAACCTGTTCATATTTATCTAACTAGCTAGCTAGCTCAGTCTGTTCATTTCTTTTACTGTGATTATATATCTAGCTATCTCAGTCTGTTCATATCTATCCGTCAAATCTAGACTCTTATGCGGATGTCATGCATAGCATCCAGCTCATTCAGAATTGTCTAAACTATCATCTATATACAACTAATACTAAAAAGAGGAATAGCAGTTAATGGATTTGGGTCAGTGTTTATGGCTAGCTAAGTTTAACGTTAAGCCAGAAGACCGTTCCTTTCTCCGTTCCCCATTTTGGCCTTGTGCCATATTTTGTAAATATTACAAATAAATAATGCTCTTCGTCCCTAGACTTTTTGAATTTAAGCGCAGTACTAGACTGGCGTTGAGTTCTCATCAATTTATGTTGAGTTGGCTAGATGGTACCGTAAGTTCTATGCTAACAGTTTCTTTTCTCGCACGTCTCGCTTGTGGAACTCCTTCTCAGCTCAATGCTTTCCAAACAACTTTAATCTGCAAAAAATTCAATACACTGTCAATCGTTATACTGTCCTCTTAATTGCTCTTCCCTCTCATTAGTGATGTTCCTGTTCTTAATTCCGCCACACCCTGTAACCCCTTGCATACTATTGGCACTACTGCCTTGCTTGGGGTGATACCGATAAAAAAAAAATTGTGTATGGACGTGAAACGGTGCCAGAAACAATTGAAGCAAGAATGAAGATTTGAAGAAAGTATAAATGCTGGAGTCTGCGAGAATACTGAGGAGGGTGCTGGATATTTGATAAGACTTGATGTTGCTCAATCTCAGGTGATATCACCAGACATCGGATATAGGTATGCAAATGTATGAAATAAAAATAATAATAAGGAACTCGCGAAAAATGAATATACCCACAGACATAACAAGGTTGCAACATATGTGCATTGGAAAATATGCAAGAAGCACAAAATCGAAACCACTGAGAGATGGCGTGAGCACCAACCAGACACAGTTACCAAAAATAACAAAGTAACTATCCTCTGGGACATGCCAATTCAAACTGGCAGGGATCTAAAAGCCAAAAGACCTGATATTATCATCAAAGACAATAAATTCCTGAAGTGTATACTTATTGACATAGCAGTACCATCTGAGAGAAACACCTCCATAAAAATTATCGAGAAATTGTCCAAATCCAAGGATCTGGAGATCAAGATTAACAGTATGTGGGGAATGAAGACTGAAACTACCAATAGTAATGAGTGCATTGGGTTTTGTGAAAAAAGGAGCGGATAATTTTGCTAATAGTGTCCCAGGTAACATCAACATACAAGTTGCCCCAGAAAATAGCCCTACTAGAAAATAGCCCACATATGCTAAGAAAAATGTCATCAATTAAATGACAATTCTCCTATAGAGCCTAAGGGCCATAGTTTGGACCCGACTCTACAGGATACAAAGCAGGAAACATAACATATAATAGTAATAACATGGATTTCAACATCCAAATAGACCGCTTCCTTGTGACCACATCAAAACAAGGAAATGCCACCTGATTAATATGGCAATTCCTGGTGCTCATAATATCATGATCAAAGAAATTGACAAAATATCCGCTGTTGTCAAGAAAAACGCAGACCTACGGATTGAAGTTATCAGAATGTGCCACATACAGGTCACTATTGTTCCAGTTATAGTTGGGGTTTATACCACTAAAACTGTACAAGGCTCAAGAGCAACTTGAGGTAGAGGGTTACAGAAAAAGAGGATAGGTGAATGTGGATATGTGAGGAACTTAATGGTTAACCATAAACTTGAAGAGGTTAAGATTGTAATGATCGGGAACACATCATCTTGGGAGTCGGTTCCACAAAACAGGGATTCGTTGGAAGATGCTCGATTGGAAGTTATATCTCATCAATGGAATATGAAGGGAATCAGGCTGGTTCGCTATTATTGTAGCAAGGCGGTTCTTAGCCGGGGATGTTAGAACTAGCGGAACTAAGGAATGTCGGTCTCAGAACTTTGCATAGCACTGCTAAATTCCTACTAAACGTACTCTCTGTCTGAGGTTATATGACTTGATGGAGAACATATATAATACGAATACCATGCGAAAGAAAATAATAATAATAATAATAATCGTGGCGTTCTGCCAAGCCCAATATAACTTAAGATAAACTTATAAGCTTCCATCAAAGTCCATCCCACAGAGAGATATCTTTTTTTTAAACCCCTGAATATTGTTTATACACACTGCTTCATAACATTCCGGTACCACTGGAGTTCGTACCCAGAGATGGACTGCACCTATTAACCTGACCTTGATTATGTGAAGCTGCGTTTCTGCGCTAATTACTCTGCGTGCGCAGAGCCGAAGCATTTGACGTGCATGCAAGAACCATTTTGCGCTTTCTCAATCTGCAAGACATTTGACTGCCTGGCGGGTAGAAATGACACCCAGTTTACATCCGGGACTTTAATTCCTGAGTGGGAGGGGGCGTGATGATAACGCGCTTACATTTCAGGAAAAACGTATATTATTGGCGATGCGCGCCATATTGCGGTTGAAACGACAAAAGAAACCAGACTAAGACATACAGCAAGTCTAAGGAACTCTTATTCTCTCTCTAGTAAAGAAAATGCTATATTTGACCCGGGAGGGTCGGTGGCGTAATGGATTGCGGCACGAATTGAGAAATCGGGGAGATGGATTCGAATGCCAGTCGAGTTCATTACATTCTCATATTTAGGAAAGGTATTAATCCCCCACCCCGCCATCTAGGACAGACTAGGTTCGATAGCCTTGTGTGACAACCCGTCTAAGAGAAGAGAAACACTATACGTAGCAGTCCGTATATTTGCTTTAATTTTGGGTGAAAATATAGACAAAAATTGTTGTCTAACATTTCGATATTTTTTATGAAGCTGTTCCTTCATTTAAGTTTTCACACACACACACACACACACACACATATATATATATTTTTCATATATATATATATATATATATATATATATATATATATATATATATATATTTCTTTCATATATATATATATATATATATATATATTTTCTTCATATATATATATATATATATATATATATAGTTTTAAATGCTATATATATATATATGGGATAAAGCGCTCAATGTAAATATAGATATTAAATGTTCACTTTTTATATATATATATATATATATATATATATATATATATGTATGTATGAAAATGTGTATAAATATATATATATATATATATATATATATATATATATATATATATATATATACATACAAATATAGATAACTATACTCGTTTCGAAAAATCCTCGAATTTTTGATTTGCCAATACTCAAATCAATCTCGAGGGAAAAAATTTTTTTAAAAAAAGAAAGAGCTAGAAATATGAAAGTCTGTCGAAAAAAATCGCACAGAGCCGGCTTTCCCTGACGGTCCATTTAGGTGAAACCTAGGTAGGTTTGTCTGGCTCACTATGTTTATATATATATATTATATGCGCGGTACTTATTGGAATGCGCTCAATATCGGGGATAAAGCTAACATATTTAATTGGATTGGTGTGTTTGTGACCCTGGGTTTCACGCGTGAAACCCAGGGTCACAAACTCACATCAATCAACTAAATATATATATATATATATATATATGAGGAGATAATAAAACAGACTGGGTTCTATAGTCATGGTTAGCAACTAGTCTAGGAGGAAGAAAACTCAAAATTCAAAACTATATATAGCCCTGAAGACTCCCATAATTATAAAGATAAGGACAAAAATCGTTTGTATAGACTCGATGGTCCCGACAAAAGCCAACTCCATTTTTTTCTCCTTATCATCACATATTTGTCTTTGTTTTCGCATATGATTTTTTTTAATTACAGTTATTATTGTGTTTTGCTCTTTCACGGAGTCGGACATTTAATTCCCTGCTTGTGCAGTTAACAATTATCAATAACATTACTGAACATTCTCGCCAATGAAATTCAATTAAATCTCATTATCTCGCCTAAATTGACGGATTTAAAATTTAGACATATTGCAGACAAGATAAACAATTTATTTGGCGCATTATATTCTTTTTTTCTTAACGTACCATGTCATTTTAGAAGGTGGATAATCATATCTGCTTACTGTAACTTTCATTTCCTGTTCAATCATCCAAACTCATTAGGTAAGTTACTGATCGTTTCCCTCTGCCCCTCCTGCCTTCAATATGCCCTGTGAGTTTAAAATTCTCCAAGCCCTCTTTCCTTACTTTTTGTCCCCGAAATGTCAGCCGTTTCTTCTTATACTAAGGTATGCTTTATGTTTTCATTTCCTTCAAATTTATTCGGCTTACGGCCACACCACGTCAAAACACCGGTTCCCAAAGTTAAGCAACGCTGATCCTGGTCAGTACCTAGATGGGTGACCACTTGGGAATACCAGATGTTGTAAACTTGGGTATGCGAGTGGTGTAATGGATATCAATTCGTTATATTCACTTACCCGCAAATGCCCTTGTGTCGTATAGGCCCCTTAGGGAGGTCTTGGGCGACGGCATCAATTTGATAATAAATTTGCATTTTTCATTCACGGCCGGTGATCGCTAGTTGTTTTGACTCTCAGATAAAAAAGACTGCAACATAGTGAATTTTAACTTAACTATTTTATTAACGATGATTTTATTAACATATACATCTTCTAACTGTCCACTGGGGAGCCGTTTCAGACACGAAAGAGATCATGTCTACATTCCTTGATGTGTAAGAACAGTCAGTTATGTGCCATGCGCTTATACACGCTTAGACGATCATGTATATTTTGATACAAGAGTGACGAGGCAGATTTTTTCATGCAGCAAGTTGCCATTTCTTTTTGTGGTAGACCAGTTGTCATCCCAGGCTATATAACACGGACTGTCCTGCTATTTACCCTTAGCTAGAGAAGAAGAAGATTCATACCTTTCCCAAGGATATTAGCACGTAAATGTATGTAATGAATTTGACTGGAATTCGAACTCGGCTTTCTGATTCCTTAATCCCAGCCGCTCTTTTCATTCTGTAAGAACCAACTCACTGAAAAACCTTTCCCTTATCTATCGCCTTTATCACGCTCGTTTAGACAATCAAACTCGACTTCCTTGTTTTGGCTTCTATCTGACCTCGAAGGCCAACCGCAGGAAGTCCGAGCAGTGATACACTTCCTCTAAGAAATAATAGTCTGATAAAATATTATTTAACAAAATTGCCTACGCATTAAAAAACTGTATTGTGTCCTAAAATATTTACCCTGTTGTAGATTAGGACCCAATGTACTTTCTGCTATTCCCTGCTTTTGTTTCAGTGGACTGCCTGTACTTATAAATAAGGCAAGTAGCCACATTAAGGTAGGATTTGAGTATTACTTGATTTACTCAAGTTTTTCCGTTTTATGTATCAGTTCTAGCCAAATTACGAACGCCTTGCCACATGTCACACATTATTTTTTAAAGAAAATGATTATAGTCAGCTAAAGTATTATTTAACACTTCAAAAAAGTATGAATCCACTTTTCTCCCACCAGCTATGGATTAATTACTATGACTTGTATCCGAAAAGCATTATTATCTACGAAATTTATTACAGTCTAAACAACATTTTCTGGCTTTAAATAGCCTGCTACAGGTTGATAATTCGTGAAAAACAAATTAAATATGTAGTTGATCTAATTTGGAATTCAGAATTTAGGGAATTGCTGACCTTGGTGAAAATGATACAGATGAATTCGCTACCCTATAAAGTAAACTTTCTTTCCGAACACCACGAAAGACCTCCTCCGATTCCCCTGTTTATTGGAAAAGAGAGAAAAGACGCTTAAAGAGAGCAGGAAAAAGGGAAATAAATTTTCACTGTTTGCTTCTGTTTTCGTTCGCCCGCACCTCATCGAAAGCCAAACAAGTCCGCCTGGTTCATGTTTGTAATCTTCTTCTTTTTCACTTCCTTTCGCCCAACCCCTAAACAATAGTCAGACCTCCGGCGATGGAAATGGGCCTTTCGACATTAAGAACACCGACTTGTTTCGGCCTCCCGTCCAGCAATGTTTGTGTATGTAAGATGGCGGACACCTGATGACAGATTCATACTTGCTGGTGACGTGAGCGGGAATTTTCAGCCATGGGCACGCCTGGGCCATAGTTTTTTCTTTCTTTTCATTTCCCTCTTTAAAATCCAGTCCACTATTCTCCTTACTTTCTATCTATCTATCTATCTATCTATCTATCTATCTATCTATCTATCTATTACTGAAACTCGTGCATGTCTATTTTTGTTTTTAATATTCACAACATATGGCTTACATACATGTCACGGCATTAGATCATCCTCATACATATAAATGTATATGTGTGTGTATGTGTGCGTATGTATGTGTTCATGTGTGCGCGTGTATGTATATATATGTAAATATGAGAGGGATATATATATTTATGCATGCACAGACATGCGTGTAAGTATATATATATATATATATATATCGATGCAACTGAATATATATATATATATATATAAAATTCCCAAGAGGATAGAATTTGGTAGGTCTGATGAATTGGTCGTGATTACGATTCCAATGTAATAAATTGAAATATAAATGTTTGAGCCTTTTGTATATATATATATATATATATATATATATATATATATATATATTCAGTTGTATGGTTATATATTCATGTTACTGAATATGTTAGCTCTATCACTGATATTGAGCGCTTTCCGATAAGTACTGCGCATATATATATATATATGCGAATACCACTGTGTCACACTTTATTAACTTTACTCCTAAAGGCCGTAGCCCAAAATATCATACTATTTTGGAATCAGACAGACTCCACCTAAAGCAAATTAAGTACATTCGGGACCTGATCCGAAACGGTTTTTACTACAGTTTTTATTACTTCAATTGTTTTCGGATTCCGTTACCTTCGTTTCTACTGATGAAAACAAATTCAAGGGACACAACTCTCTAACTTTCAATAGGTCATGTTCAAATGAAAAATTACTGTTCTCAAATTACACCGTTTCAAAATAAAATTGTCCGTGTTTTCAACTTTACTCCTAAGGAACATAGCCCAACATATCATACCATTTTGGAACCAGTCTGATCCCGGGGGTAAATTAAAAACATTCGGTCACGGATCCTGACCCGCAATCCTGAAATTTTGGATTCCCAAGTTTTCATTACAGCGATTTTTAAGTGATTTCTTGCGACGAATTTTTTGTATGATAACAATTTTTATAACGAGGAAATAAATTTTGTAATAATCGAAATTAATTGCGAGATCCAGCGAAAGTCACCCTAGTCTGTGTCCTATCTAACTAAAATTGCCTTGGCTTAGCAGAGAATGTAAAATTTTGTATGACAGAGTTTCTAGAACTGTCTCTGCAACTTTTCGGCCAAGTTCTGTGCTGTTTTGGGCACCCGTCCACTGTTTCCTTTATTTACTAAGGACCGTCTGTCCTATCTTAATAAGAGTTTACTTATCTATTAGTTTAAATGCCAGTGTAAAGCTGAGTATATTGGACAGACTAGTCTTTGATTGGTAACCAGAATGGACGAACACATTCCTCAATATATCAAATTGCATTCAAGTAATCATACTAGTGTGTCGTAGTTGGTACACAATTCACCTATTGGAGAATGAGATGTGATCGTCGTTTTTCACGATGGACTCATTCTCTATTTTACATATAGACAGGTCCAAACACCATTTGTTAGTTATGGAGGCCATTTGTCTTAAATTGCAGTAACCGTCTCTCTGCAGACAAAAGGGTAATATTTTTGTGTTCTTTAAAATTATTTGGAGGTTAGTGAACGATTCTTTACTTGTTTTATACTCTTGTTGGTTCATTTACTTATTCTCTTAAGTTTATGCATTTATTTTAATAATAAATCTGTCTTAGACGTCTTCCAAACTTGTCTCCAAGAATTTTCCCGCATAAATGCAGTCTAATTTTCATTATTTCATCTGTGCCAACAATCGGTTCCTGAAGAAGCGTTGGCTGAATGGTTTCCTAGGTCCCAAAAAATGAGCATAAAATTGTGTTTATTCAATATATATATATATATATACGCCAGGTCAAGACCAATAATATTGTTGATTCCTCTTTGGATTCTATCAAGAATCTCTAAATATATATTAGGAGCACCAGACTAGATGTGGATTTTTATTTTTAAAAAATCTCTAAATATCCAAAAAGAAGCAAGTACCATATGTGACAGCAATATTCAAAGCATGGACGAATGGTAAACCTATAGATATGTAAGATAAATTTCTGGAAAGAATAATTATCTAGCACGATATATTGAACCAACTTTCTTAGCAGCAAATCTAGCAATTGATTCAATATAATCTTTCAACTTTATGTCAGTCGAGAATATTAAACCGAGATGGCTCAGGGTCACTCTCATAGAGATTAGCATCCGCCATGCTACTTCCCTGCAGCCGAACAATCTTCATTTCCCCCGTACTCCAAATATAAGAACAAAAGTTACACTCAGTTTTCCCAAGAATTTCTACTTCGTACAAAAACTCCCACGTGGATGCTTTCCTGAACGCCACAATACTAACCTCTTTACGTCAATATTTATCTATCTTCCTTATTCTCATAATCATCACTTCCTTCTGTCTTTTTTATGTTCATATAACACCCCTCATTCAGCATTGCCCTTTTAACATTTAGCCTCTACTTTGAGTGACTCTTGAGACTTGGGGTTGGTGATTTTTTGTATAAAAAGTAATAGTAAAGAGCCATTGCACCTATTATCAACCTTGACAACAGCTTACGTTAAGAACGAACGGAACCATAAATGCACGCAGATGTTATATACAAAAATTTGAGAATCATTCCAGGCGTCTTCAGACGCTATCAACGAAAAAATTACAAATGTCGATTTTATTCGTAGTCACAGACAAGCGCCAGTTACACGATTTTCAAAACTGGGAGAATCATCGGATTCCGGATATTTTTAAAGCGATAAGCCTAATCTTTACGACACACTAATGGTTTTTCTCATGAGCAATTCAGTCAGTTACATAAAATGTGGAAGAAGACAAAGCCAGTTTTCACAATTGACAAATATACACGTAGATTTAGAAACCTCGAAGTGATGTAATGGTTAACAATCTTTTCTCGCTAGCATAGTTACAAACAACTAAGAAGTAAATTCGATCCTCACTCGGTGCAGTGTATTTTCGGCCTCCAAATATAAACTACGCTAGTAAATTTTTTTTTTTCTTTGTATTATTATCAGATTAAAGAAATGGAATTGTTATCATTTCTTTGTCTTCGGTGTTTAGCTGAGTATACGACTAAGTTTGTGCAACCGTGTGGCATCGGCAGGCTTGGACGGGTGGGAAGTGCTTTCTCGGCTGGCATTGAAAAGTTTATTCTCGACTTTCCTCTATTTACATATTT